TCGCACAGTCAAGTCCGACTCTTTGTGACCCCATGGACCACATCACGCCAGGCCCTCCCGTCTTCCGTCGTGCTCTGGAGTTTGCTTAATTTCATGTTCGTTGCATCTATATTAGGTAGAGGTTCTTACACTGATTTATGCAAACATGGTTCCTAGCATCAGTTCCCAGATCAGATTTGATTTACGATACCCCACACTTCTTTGACCCTAAATGCATCAATTTGCTTGGTATTTGAACTAAAAATTTCTACGAGGGCTTGAGAGCACCAGCACCAGGAGATCTTGTTTTCAATTGCTGAAACCGCCGTGGGGAGGGAAAATAAGGACTGCTGGTTGCTGCCACACCGCAGCCCTTCATGGCCATTTTTAAATAGTTACATTTTCATCTGAAAGGGCAGCAGCAGCCACGGGCTCAGCCCATGTCTGCCATAACCTATAGTTTGGTTCAAAGAACAGAAGAGGTACCCTGCTGGCTGAGACTTAATGGTCCATTTAGTCCAACATCCTGTCTCACACAGCAGCCCTGATCTTGCCTCCTTGTGCTGGTATTCTGAGGTTCAGTTCCTCAGCGCACAGAGTTACTCTTTAGCTAGCTGTTGAACCTATCCTCCATGAACCCTTTCAAATCTATCTGTGCTCATAGCCATCACTATCACTATACCAACTGGCAATGAATTGTTGAGTGAAGAAGTACTTTTTGCTTGTCTGTTCTCAATCTACTTGCTCATAAACTTCATTGAGAGTCTCAAATTCTGGTACCACGAGAAAGGACTTGCATAATTTTATATATTTCCAATCTCTTAGTCATCTGCCCTCTACTGCACTTTTTCTAGCTCTGCGGTATCTTTTAAGACTCGAACTGTACACAGTATTCCTAATGCAGTCACTAGGAATGCAATCATACCACTGAGCTACTTAAAGAGTATTACAATATTGGCTACGCCCCCCAACCCTTTCCTAATAATCTCTTCACACAGGAGTTTTCTTTTTTTCACTGCTGCCACACAGTTGATATTTTAATTGACCTATCCCCTACAAGGAGCTATTTCTCCCCCTCTGAATCTATGCTGATGGGGTCTGAACTGGCAATCTCAGGACTTTTTGTTCCAATCTACCTCACCTTATGTTTACCTACAGTGAACTTCATCTGCCATGTTGCTGCAAATGTATCCAGTTTAGAGATCCTCCTGGAGCTCTTCACAATCCACTTTGGTTTTCGCCACCCTGGATAACTGGGTACCTACTGCTCACCCGAATTCCAGATCACTGAAGACAAATTAAACAGTAGTGATCTTTGTGGGATCCTACCACTTCTCTTTGTTGCCAGGAATGTCTGATTGTATCTGTTCCATCTTGGTAATGAAAGGCACACAGTGGGGCCACCTATTAACAAAGTGATGGTCTCTCCTTGCATACACAAATATGCACAAAAGTAAGACTCTTTAAATTAACCGGGGTGGGGGGCTCAGACTTAACCTGATGAGGACTGAAATGCTCCAGAAAGAACAGAACGTTGAGAACAGCTGAAACAGGGTTAACAGCAGAAATAGGGGATGTTAGTCAGCTCAAGTCTGACAGGAAACATTTTGGGTACTCCACCTGCAATTCCTCCCCGCCCCCATTGTTACCGTAATAAGCAAGGCCCATGGTTTTAGCAACACACAAGCCTATGGAAGGTACCTTCTGGATTTTTTTAAACAACAAAGACAAATATATGCCTGCTTTAAAAATTAAGATACAGCTAAATATTGACAGTTCAGGGTTATTTTTAAACCAGGAAAAACAGGATTATTGTAAATAAAATGTAGGCTTTCAGGTCTTCCAAGTAAATACACCAAGACATCATGTTTTCCTCAATGGTACGTTGAATTTTTAATAAAGATTTCTACATTCAGTGTATTAGTTATTTGAAGGAAACAGACAGCCAAAATAAAATGTAAAATGTCTGTTCACAGCCTTTTGTGCTGTAATTATACTACTCACCATAAACACATTTTCCTGCAACTGTCTTGAGAATCTGTTCTGGGTGATTGGCGTAGCAACTGTTTTTGGACCAGTTTCCTTGGTGTATTTTGTTTCAAGTTCAGAATTTATTAGACACTCTAATAAGCTTCAGGAGTTTTTATATAAAAAAGTCACAGGCATAAGGTCTCTGCATGAAATCCAACATTACCTGTAGTGTTACCTCAAACGGGACATGCACATCAACAGTGTTTCAAAGGAAAGGCAGTACCCTCATAACCGTGTGTTTGTTTGTGTGTGTGTGTGTGGTGGAAATTATGATCTCATTTACAAAAAATACCGAGACCCACTAACAAGGGTGTAGATATAACCCCTTTCCCCTTTACATCATTTTAACTTAGTATCACCTCCCCAAACTGTTATTTGTCCCATGAAAACAGGTAAGAACCACATGATTAACTGTTTCTTTTCAGAGTGAAGACAGTAGCTTAGTTGGGGGGATGAATGCAGGAAAACGGTGCAGGTGTTAAAAGGTGTTAACTCCCCCAGCCTCCACTATGATACAGCCCCAAGCCAAATAGGACCCCCCCACCAATACAGCTGCTGCTTACTCTTATAGCGGTAGGAGATCCATGTACAATTCTCTTGACAGCATGACTTACTTGACCTGGGAGGGGCAGTGCTGTGGCTCAGCGGTAGAACACCAGCTTTGCATGCAGAAGTTTCCAGATTCACTACCAAGAATCACCAGTTAAAAGGATCAGGTAGTAGGTGATATGAAAGACCTGAGACCCTGGACAGCTGCTTCCCATCAGAACAGGCAATACTGACCCTGACAGATCAAGAGCCTGACCAAGGCAGCTGTGTGTGTACATGTGACCCTAAGGTAAACAGGATAGGGAAAGGTATTTTTAAACCTACTGTGATACTCTGCCAATGGCTACTGAGCATAGTAGCCAAAAACGGAGCTTCCTGTTCCACGAGTGTGTATAACTT